TTGGCTTGGGTCTGGTTGGCTAAGCCTAATAAAAGCAGGAACCCAGACGGGGAAAGTGAACAGTCTTGCTAATTCTGAAGTCGAATTATGGCTGAACACTGGTTCTGAAGCAGAGTGCCTGGCCCTCTGCTAGTAGACAAAGGCCTTTCACCTGTGTTACCAAAACCAACGATCGGCTCCTTGTGAGTATTTGTGAAAGACTTCATTACTTCTGCTGTCATCTCTCCGATCTGCCCATATCACGCTAATTCATGGAAATTACATCCTTGCACAACCATCATAATGAATATTTCAAGCCTATTATCTTATGTTACTAAAGGATCTCAGTGCCCTGGCTCAACGAGAAGTGCAGCTCCATGCTTGACTCAGCTCCGAGTCCACAGAATGTGTGACTTAGCCAGCTTTGCTTATCTCGCATGTGCATATATAATGCTGGCTTGCTCTTATAAATTCCTTTTTCTGCACTATATACATCTTGCAGTATGCATAAAACATATTGAATGAATAAACTTTGCTTTATTTATTTTGTGGTACTAGGGACCAAACCCAGAGGTACTCTGTGGATGAGCCACAGCCTTATTTACTTATTTTTATTTTGAGAATATGCAATGCTCCTGTGTCAGCCCCCAAAATTACCAAAGTGATAAGATTACAGATGTGTGCCACTACACCCTGGTAAAATTCCCATTTTCTAAATTTAAACTTATTTATTTGGTACAGAGTCTCACTATGCAGCTCAGGCTCAGAGTGATACTCCTGTCTCAGCCTCCCTAGATCTGGGATTACAGGCATGTGCCACCACACCCAGTCTTGGTGGCCTGCTCAGCACCCCCTGGGGTTCCGGAGCCACACAGCATGCAGTGCTGGGGACCAAACTCAGGCCCTTGCACTTCCCAGGCAGGTGCTTTGACCATGGCTCTATCTCTCCAGCCCAAAATTCCCATATGTAAGAGATCTTAAGTTCATAAATTAAAGTTTCAAGTTCATTGAGCTGTCTGAGCCTCAAGCTCAAAGTAAGGAAGCAATGTTCTACTTTAGCACCACCACTGTGAAGAAGTAGTTTTCCAGATGGACAGAAAGCGTGAACAGGGGGCTTGTGAGATGGCTCAAAAGTCTAAAGCGCCTGCTTCAGCAAGCTTAAGCAGGCTCAAGGGACAGCAGTTGCATCCCCAGCACCACATGCTGGCCCAGCCCCACCTTCCGGGTGGCCTGAGCTGGCAAAAAAAAAAAAAAAAGAGTGAACAGAGGCAATGCTGCTATCAAAATTTCCTCCCACTCATCCCTTCCATCCCACTCTCCCTGCAAACTCAGAGTATCGCCATCTTTCTGGTTCAGAGGGGTAGTGAATGAGCAGAACCCTCCTCAGCATCTCATCAAACTACAGAAACGCCTAATTTTTTTCATCAGTTTAGGAAAAAGGGCCGCCTTCAGTATCCTCCCGTCATTCCAGCTAGGAAGATTCCACAGAGCACTCAAGAAGTGAAAGAGCATAAAAAGGAGCAGAGATGCCCCGCAAGATGATTCTGTGGGCAGGGAGGAAATACGGAAGAAGAAAAAGAAAGGCATGTCGGGGTAGAAAGAATAGTGTGTTGGAAACTGCGAGAAAGCAGGCCGCCAGGCATGGACTTCAACCTGGAGGACCTGAGGGGAAAGCCAGTCATCCACCAGTGAGTGTGAAGTTTGCCTTTCATATGCCGTTTCTCAGGACACTGGGTGGCGCTCGTGGTAAAGACTTGCGCCTCTCTTAGAGGCTCTTGCCCGCCCCCGCCCCACACGCCCTATGCAAATTTCAGCCGCTAACTGATGAAGTTACCACACTGTTCCTGCATTTCTCCTGGGGGAACACACCGCGGGAGGCATCTGATGCTCTAAGAAGTTTCTCCGTGGGGTCTGCTGGGCTGGGTCTGTTGGTGGTATTTGAGAAACAAATCCTCTTCGCTAGTCTTAAGGGAAAGCCTGAGGCCGTAGGGTCAGAACCACCTACCTCCTCAGTACCAGCAAAAGTTGCGGGCCCCAGAACCCAAACACCTAGCGGCTTTAGCTCTGAGCATAAGTCTGAAGCTACAGACCCGCCATGGTGCTGCAGTCCCCAGAACCACAATAAATACACTGTGAATGCAGTAGGACTGCATAGTGTGAAGGCTGCAGCTGCTTTCAGCTTAGCACTCCCTCTTTCTCTCTTTTAAGGGGCTGGGGAGATGGCTCAGTAGAATAAGCGCTT